GAAATAAGTGGTGGGACTGCCAGCAAGCAGACCCTGGCTCTGCTGCTTCACGCCCACCTCAGAGGCAGCTGTGGGCTGTGTGAGACTCTGCCCGCCACGGCCCCGTGGGGGCACTATCTGGGGCAGAGTTGAATGCTGCCAGGGGTCAGGGTCCACCCTGCCCCTCAGATGCCCTTTGACATCTAGACCTCATACATTCCACTCAGCTGGAACTGACTTAGCAAATTCTAAGTTGTAAACTGTCACAGAAACCAGCCAAAAAGTCATCATTCATTATAAATTATTATTGCTTCTGTAGATATTGCCACTATTATTTTCTAACACTTAGTTTAATGTCTGTTCTCCATTCTAAACAGTAAGCTTCATTCAGGTGGGCCCCTGTCTGTCTTATCATTTCTCTTTTCCCACTTCCTGGCAGGGCCTGACACATATGTGATGCTACATGAATGAATGAATGAATGAATGAATGAATGAACACGGACTCAGCCTTGTGTTGGATCCTCAGGGGAAAATATTTCATTGTTTTTGTAAAGTGCCTGATGGTTGGCAAGGAGCTCACTGTAGAATGTGAGGTCATTGGGTCAGGATTTCATCTGTCTGTTTGCCTCTGTGTCCTCAGGCCTGACATGTAGGAGAAGCTCAGTAGATACTTGTTCAATACACGGCATGGTTTCCTTTGAGCCTCGCGGAGAGCTCCCAAGGGCAGATGCAATTCACTTCTGTTGTGCAGATGGGAAAGTGCCACCCAGGAGGGTGGATGGAAGCTTGCAACTGCCATCCCATCAAAAGCTTCTGAGAATGCTCATCTCTGCTTTCTCTGCCAATGTTATATATTAGCGGCCCTTTTAAATTAAGAATCCTATGACAGGCTTATTGACCATTTGTATTTCTTCTGTTTATTTCTTATTCATACTTTTTAATCCATTTTTCTATTGGGTTTTCTGTCTTTTATTTTAATAATACATTTTACTTAACCCAACATATCCAAATATTGCCATTTCAATATGTAAGCAATATAAAATTATTGAGATACATCTTTAAAAATATTTAGTCTTTGGAATCCACTACAGCATATCTCAATTTGGACATTAAATTTTCATCAAAACAAATCTAGAGACAGAGAAGCATCGATCAGATGCTCAAACCTCAGAGGGAAGGTAGGGGTGGGGGTAAGGGGAAGAGATCAACCAAAGGACTTGTATGCATGCATATAAGCATAAGCGATGGACACAGACAACAGGGGGTGAGGGTGAGGGCAGGACTGGGGGAATGGGGGGCGGACAGTAGGGGGATAAGGACACATTTATAATACCTTAATCAATGAAGGAAAAAAATTTTCATCAAAAATACTTGGTTTGTACTTGTATTTCATAAAATATACATTGGAGGAAGTAGATTCACATGCCCAAATTGTTCCAGTTATACTGTGATAGGCAGAATAATGGTCCCCACAGATGCCCATGTCCTGGGAACCTGTGAACGCTGCTATTCAAGAAGGGATGAAGGTTGCAGATGGGAAGGTGCTTAATCAGCTGAACTTATCATAAAGAAATATCCTGGATTACCCAGGTGGGCCCAGTGTGATCACAAGGTGCTAAATAGTGGAAAAGAGGGGCAGGAGAAAAAGTCAGAGTCAGAGAGAAATTTCAAATGCAACGCTGCTGGCGTTGAAGATGGAGGATGTGGCCAGGAGCCAAAGAATGCAGGAAGTCTGCAGAAGTTGGGAAAGGCAGGGAACCATATCTCCCCTGAGCCTCTAGGAGGCACACAGCCCTGCCAGCTCTTGATTGCAGCCCAGTAGGCTCATTTCAGATGAACATACCCTGTATCAGAATCTATGCTTTTAAAATATTTATAGATCCTGTACCCCAGCAGGAGGCTGGGACCAAAGCCATGCCCTTGACCCATGAGAGGCAGGAGGGATCTGGGTGGCTCTGAGAGCTAGTTCCGAGGGCCCCTTGCAGTGGTGGGGGCCACAGCGGGTTCCTGAGAGAGAGGTGAGCCTGGCTCTCCATGCGGCTTCTTGCACACAAAGCTGTCAGGAGTGTGAGGAGCATCACACACAGCTGGTGCACACCCCAGCTCACCTCCTGGCAGGGGGACACGAGGCTGCTTCTCCCACATCCACATTCTTCTGCTCATCCAGGCACATGGGATAGTAGTACTGACACCAAAATGTGGGGTGTTTGAGTCCGAGTTCATTGTTTCTCGAAGTGGAAGAATGAAGTGGGATCGAAGCTTATTGGGAGAAGCCAGTCCTGGAGAAGGTGCCGGAGCAGCCAGGGTCCAGAGCTTTGCTCCATGTGACAGTGGGTGTTAAAGTCCTTTAGTCCATGTGCTGCGTCCCACACGGCCATGTGGCGCAGGGAGCATGTCCCCGGCCATCAACCCAAGCATCTAGCGTGCAGGGGAGAGAGAGGAGAGAGGAAGCATGCGTTTTTAAATCTAGGAGCAGATGCATGTCTTGCTAGCTTCTGGTTGGTCTTTTGAAGAATTCTGCCTTAGCCACATCCTTGGGATTGGTTTATACATCTTATTGCCTTGTGATTGGTTATTCTGTAAGCTGCTTGTCTTAGCAACAATCCATGTATTTTTAAGTTTGCCTCTTGCACGTGCCCTTCTGTCCACATCCAGTTGGGATGCCTTAGTAACTTCACATACTTGGGTTCCCAGTTTTATCCCCGCCCCCCCCCCCGCCACCCCTATGGTCCTAGTCCCTGTCTATCTAGCTTCCCTCTGTCTCCTCAGTACCTACCCCCATGGGACCTATAGGAAGATTAAATTCAAGAATTTAGACAAAGAGCCAGGAATATAGTCCAAGTTCCGTAAACAGTAGCTCTGGCTGCTTTCTCATTTAGCTGTAGTACAAAGTGTCGTCAATATCAATATTGTCACTCCCCTTTTATGGATGACAGATATTGAGACACAGAGGGAAAGAAGCATCGTGCCCAGGATTATACAGAGACACCAAAACACAAACACCGGAGACCCATCCCATTAGCCAGGGATGAATCTCGCCCACACCCTCTAGTGAGCATGGTTCTATCCTAGGCCACGGTTCTGATCTATCCCTAGAAAGAAAGTAACTGTTAACTCAGATACAGTGGTTACTAGCTGGCTCTCTGGCTTATTGCTGTACTTTCTCTAAAACAAGCAACCACGGGTATTCATGTCATTCACCTTTATGTTGCTTAAATGAGAACAGGAATGTCCTGTGCCCTTGGGGTGCAAGGTTCCGGCAGCCACATGGCAGCCGCTTGGAGGCTTCAGTCACCCGGTTAAAGCCAGGGATTGCCTGGGAAAGTTGGGGGTGCGGAGAGGAGTGCTCTGTGAGCGTGTGTAGCGGGAGCGGGGCTGGAGGCCACGTGGAGAAAGCAGGTGGCCACACCATTCTCCTGGGCAAGTGCAGACACCAGGAAGCTGTTTCCTGCCCAGCATGGAGCCCTGACACAAAATAATAGCTGGGGTTGGTTAGCAAACACACAGCTTTTACAGTGTGCCAGGCACTGCTCCCAGGACTCCCCAGGCACTAATTCATTTAATGCTCATAAGAGCCCACAAAGTACTATTTTTATTCCTATTTCACAAAGAAGGAAATTGGGAGGTTGCTCAGAGAAGTTACGCCATTTGCTTGGGATCATACAACCGGCAAATAGCTGAGCCAGGACTTGAACCCAGGCAGTTAGGTAGTGGGAGTGGAGAGAACCAAACAAAAATGTGTAGTCAAAGCCACACATGGCATGGTGAAAAGATAATACAATATACAATGGCGTCTTATAGAATGTACACCTGAAACTTATATAATTTTATTAACCAATGTCACCCTAATAAAGTAAATAAATAAATAAAACATTTTATTAAAAAAATGTTTAAAAGCCACACAAAGTCTGAGTTGGGAAATTCTGAGCATGAACAAAATGAAGAAAGGCCTCAACAGAGATGGGTCACTCACACAGAGAAGGGGCAGAGGAGGCCTGGCCTGGTGGGTGGAGACAGGGGGAGTCCAGGTGGTTATGACAGGCAGCACCTCATCTGAGCAGGACTCCTGAACAGGAATCTGATCTGAAGTCTCAACATCCCTGAGGAGTGGAGTTACTGTTCCACAGCAGAGATGTGGAAACTGAGGTTCAGAGAAGCTACATGGTCTGCTTCAGGTTACACAGCCAGGAAGTGCAAGGTTGGGCCTCGAACCCAGCCTACCCATTCCGACGCCCTGCTCTTTCCGGGCACCTTTCAGCCTTGCTACCAGATTTCAGGCTTAGAAGTGGGCTGGGCCTCCTTTACCCTCCTCTCCCCTCCTCTCTGTTAGTGACTGATCTCTGTGAGGGCTTTCTCCTTTCATTCATGCTCACATTTGCCCAACTCAGACTGCGTGTGGCTTTGACTACACATTTTTGGTTCTCTCCATGGCAAACCCATTTTCAACTCCATCCCTATAGCCTAACTGGGTTCAAATCCTGGCTTAGCTACTTACTGACACCACAGGTATACCAGGCACTTGGCACCGGTGTGCTGGGTCCCTGTGTGTCACAGCCGACGTCCATTACACAGTGAAATGGTCACCCCTGGCCAGGAGGGGCAGGCTAGAGTTGCACCGATCTGCTGCTCCTTTACCCGAAGTCGCCCAGTTCTGTGTGCCAACCTTTCTCTCCCTGACCCTCTTCAACCAGAAAAAGGACATTGGAACAGGGAGCCCTCTGCTTGAGGGGAGCCTGCCCCCCCACCCCACCCCCGCACCTCCAGACATGGGTTTCCCTCCCTCACCAGGGGAGTAACAGCTGTGGGCAGTGCTGGCGGTGCCTGTGGGCGGAGCCCCTGTGTGCTGCCCACCCCACTGGGGACTGTGCAGGGCCTCTGGGGAGCCTGACACTCTGAGGAGCCCTGCACTCTGCCTGGCACCCAGGCCTACCCGCAGGGCCCCACCCTCCCTCCCCCGCAGACCTGGCACACAAGTCCTTCCCAGTCCGCTCATGCCCCTGTGTCTGTGTTTGTCTCTCTAGGGACTTATTTCTCTGCAAGGGACGCAGGTGGCCCAGCGTCTTCCTGGCCCTGAGGATGTGGGGAAGCACCTCTTTGAGATCAGCCCAGGTAGGCGGGCCCTGGGGCCCCATGCGGGTGTTGCTGTGCCTTGAGCCTGGGAAGGCGGAGCTCCTTCATGAAACTCCATCACTTTTCACAACTCGGAAATTTGGGTCAAATCTAGAGGATATGGTGAATTTGGGGGAAATTAGAAAATCCAATCATGTGGGTAATTAGCTTTTGATAGATTTGTAAATTCACAGTAAACACAAGGGAAGAAACCAATCAACTGGGGCATCTTAGGGTGAAGGTCCCAACCCCAAGTCCGGGTGATCTGCAAACAGGCGGAGGCAGCAGTTCAGAGCATTAGCAAAGCTGCAGCATGAATTCCAAACAGAACTGCGTGCGGTACGGTTGTTACAGAATTTACCAGGCAGCTGGAACACACACACAGGAGTGCTCAGAGACACAGGAAAACTCCACTTATTTCCAGATGTGCTAGTAACGTGACTCAGGGGAGCCTGTTTCCAAATCCTGAGCAAACCAATATGGAGGAAGCTTTCTCTTTATACCCTTTGGTTTCTTTGTCCCCCAAATATGGATCAGACTTCCGGACCTTTCGCGGGCTTTGCAAAAAGCCCCGTGTATTAGGATGGGAGCCATGAGACCACACCTAAAGGCCTGGCCTGGCGCCAGCTCTGATAACCCCTTCCAGGGGTTGTGTATGGTTCATGGTTTGTGGCCTCTGTAAAATGGTAGTACTTAGGTAAACAGGTCTTGCAAGACCAGATAATTAAGGAAGGGGCAGTGACTACAGGCTAACAGGAATGTGCGTTAGGGATACTGATTAACTAGGTACAGAGTCAGGCTGCTAGTCTCCTACATCCTTTCACAAATGGAGTTAATTATCGGCTAGCAAGAGTGTGCATTGGAAGGCAGGTTACTGGCATAGATTCAGATTGCTAGCCCCCCAAAAATGTCTTATGTCCCCCATCATTGTGAAGGAATAATTAACCAAAGAATTGCTATCATAGTAGAGTCACAAAACCGTTCTTTAAGCTCCCTGATTTGAAACGTGACTGTTATTGAGCCTGTAGGTGCTTGAACGCATTTGCTCAGAGGGACGGGCACTGCAGGCAGGCGTGTGGCGTTCCGCCTGACACCCCTCTGGCCTGGGAAGCAGAGCCTGAGCTGCATCTGAGCCCTTTATAGGAGGCACTGAAGCCGGACAGCCAAAGGGTCCGGACTACTGTCATACTTGAGCCAATTCATCAGACAGGGTTGAATCACATATGAGTGTTAATTTCAATCCTGCCGGCAGCATGGGAGAGCAGCAGGTCATCTACAAACATCTGCTCTCCATCCTCTATAAGCCAGCTGCTCATGTGGGGACAAGGACAAAGATCACATGGGGAAGTAGGCAAAAGCCTTTATAGGAGGCCCTGAAGCCGGACAGCCAAAGAGTCCGGACTACTGTCATACTTGAGCCAATTCATCAGACAGGGTTGAATCACATATGAACGTTAATTACAATCCTGCCGGCAGCATGCGAGAGCAGCAGGTCATCCACAAACATCTGCTCTCCATCCTCTATAAGCCAGCTGTTCATGTGGGGTACAAGGACAAAGATCACATGGGGAAGTAGGCAAAATGAATCAGAATGGGTATGAAAAATGGGTATAATGGTTACAGTTTACAGGCAATGCGGCTGGGGGTTTGCAAGGGACTGAGGGTTTGCAAAGGGCTGGCCCCTCTGGTTTCTGCAACAAGGTTGTTAGTCTTTCCCTGATACTAGGCAGCTCCCGGATGGGGAGGATGGGCTGCATTTCCAGGTGAGCTCCCAGATCCCACGTGCAACTCCCAGCAGGTTAGAAAGTGCCTTCTTTAATCAGAACAAAACAATCCCGGTTAACAGCATGGTCAATAATTCTTACAATTATAGCTGGTCCCATATTCTATTTCTGCCCCTAACAGCACCGCCCGCAGAGCATGGAGAAGGGAGCAGTCAGGGTGTGCTGCGAGCGGGCTGCTGCTGGGCACCGGGACTCAGTTCCAGCGGGCACTTGTGGAGACGGTGGGGAGCTGGGCACCGTCCAGGTGAGCTCCCAGGTCCCACCTGCAACTCCCAGCAGATTAGAAAATGCCTTCTTTAATCAGAGCAAAACAATCCCGGTTAACGGCATGGTCAATATTTCTTACAATTATAGCTGGTCCCATATTCTATTTCTGCCCCTAACAGCACCGCCCGCAGAGCATGGAGAAGGGAGCAGTCAGGGTGTGCTGCGAGTGGGCTGCTGCTGGGCACTGGGACTCAGTTCCAGCCTCACTGTGGAGACGGTGGGGAGCAGGGCACCAGGACTCAGTTCCAGCCGCACTGTGGAGACGGTGGGGAGCAGGCCTCAGAGATGTCTCGCTCGCCCAGGGAGTGAGGAGGCAGGGTATAGAGCAGCCATGCCTGCGAGCTGCTCCCTGGGGAGCTGATGCTGGCACATCAGGCCGCTCTGCAGGACCGGCTCCCTAGGGACAGAGAAGGCCTTCGGGGAGAGCGGCAGGGCTTGAGGAGACGGCCCACGTGGATGGGAACAGTGTGCCTGACGTCTGGAATCCCATCCACCAGTGTGTCCATGGGAGACGTTCCTCTGGGAAGTGGTGGCTGTGAACTGACTATGCCAGGCCTCCCTGGGGTCTCAGAGCAGCCTGGGCACCCAACCATCGAACAAGGTGACCAGCACAGTGTGGATCAGCCTAGGCTCAGGCCAGCCGGCAGCAAGCCGCCCGCTGGGAGCCCAGGAGAGAATGTGAGCCGGGCAGGCAGCGTTGGCCTCTGCTCTGTCCATCCTGGGACCCCAGGAGGCACCAGCTGGAGCTGAAGGGCAGGGAGAGCCTCCTGCTGCGGCCCTGCATGGAGGTCCCGCAGCCCGGTTCCATTAGGCATTTCACCCACTGCCAGTGCCAGGGAGGTGGCGGCAGAGCGATCCCAGGTAGGTGGAGGACAAGGCTCAGTTGACTGTAGACCGTGAGTGGAGGCTTCTGCAGAGAAGACAGAGAAGAAAGGACAGTGAGGTGGGCAGGGCCCTGCTGTTAGGGTTGCTGAAGGAGGGATGCTTGAGGCCAGTGTGGTGAGGGATTATAAATCTATCAGGTCATCTGGATACCAGATGGGCTGAGCCCCCAAATGGCACCAGCACCCAGGGACAGGGAGTCAGAGGTTTTAAAGGACTCTAGGCTGGCTTTTTCTGGGCGGAGAATTCTCTGGGCGGGTCTGGATCCTGGGAAGGTGGGAGGGGGGGAGATAATGGTCTTAGTAAGTGGAATGTGGTCTGAGTGCCTAAAGGTCAGTTCCCAGGGGAGGGGTATCAATTATTTGATCAACACTAACACCTGCCATCTCAGGGCGGGGGCGCTGGGCACAGGGAAGAGGGGCTGGGCGAGGGGCCCTGAGCCTGGAGAAGGAAAAGGTGGAAGTCAACAGAGCCCTGCCATAAGTTCAGAAAGGCACTGAGCATGTGCCCAAGGACCAGACAGGGAAAGTCTCCACGGTGCCTGCTCCTCAGCTGGTCAGAGCTATTTACAAGGATTTCCTGACTGGTGGGGGGTTGGGGGCCCCACCATAAGGTAACGGTCCCAGGTCCCAGGAACTAGGACGGGACCGCTCTGCGGGCCTTCATTTTGCCTCCCGCAGTGCTCAGAACACCCATCAGGCAGTGGCACTTCATGGAAAAGGCACTGGAGGTCCGAAAGGACACAGAGCCAGGTGGTGGTAGGTTCAGGGCTTGGACCCAGGCCGTCTGGCTTCCAAAGCCACGCCTGTGAGCTGCCCGCCACACAGGCACCTGGCCCGGGTGTTAGCGTCTCAGCCACCTGGGCCTGGGAGGCCGGGATGCGGTTGTAGGAAGGAGAGCTCCCTTTGTATCCAGCACAGCAGTTAGGCACCAGGCTCTGACAGGCTCCAGGACTGCCGCCCTCTTCCCCTTTGCACAGGCCTGAAGGCCTGGGGGGGAGGGGGCGCAGCAGCTGGAGGCTGCCCAGGGAAAGTGGCCTGGTGTGGGCAGTGAGGGAGGGTACAGTCAGCGTTGGGGGAGCCCTAAGGGAGGAAGACTCCATCACCTCCCCTGGACTCATCTGGCTGGGGAAGGTCAGTGGGGCACGTTTGCACCCGATACCCAGGGCGGGGAAGCTTGACAACTCTTGAAAATGTGACAGAAACCCAAGTATGATAACACGTAAATCAACTAGACGAATTTTAAGTCATAGTCCTATTTGTGCTCTTCAACCGTATAAAAATATTGCAATTTTTCATCAGGTAGAATAAAAATGTGAGGGAAAGTTAGGTTGTGAGTGCCATCTAGTGGAGAGACCTACCAATTCCAGACCAGGCCTGCCTCCTGCCGGCCCTGTGGCCCTAACCATTCCTGCCAGGCCTTACCTCTGACTCTCTCGAGGCGCCCACAGTCCCTAAGCCAGCTCCTGCTGCAGAAACCCCCCCCTCCCCCCACACCCTGCGGCTGGCTCTGGGGCAGGCCCCCGGCAGCAGCTGGGATTCCAGGACCTGAGTCACATTCCCACCTGGGCCTCATCTCTGGCCTGGGCAGTCAGCTGCCTGCTGTGCTTTTGTGATTTACAAGAAGAAATATGTATTTGGTCTCCATTCTGGTTCCTGACGGAGCTCCTGGAAGCCTGGGCATTCCTACCTGATAGAGTGATCAGGTGTCCTTTGTCCTGTGAATGAGGTGACCTTTGGAAGCACCTGAGGATGGGGCTGGTTGCCAGAGGAACCAATCTTGTGGTGAGAGGGTTGGAACTTTCAGTCCCTCACCTCACAAAGCCCCATAAACATCCGGAGGAAAAGCTGCGGGAGCTCCTGGGTGGAAAAGTCGTGGGGAGAGTGGCCGGCTCAGAGAGTCAGGTAGTCTGCGGCCCTTCCCACACGCCTTAGCCTACGCCCTCTCCCATCTGGCTGTTCCAAGGTATATCCTCGTATAATAAACCCATAGTCTAGAGGGTGAAATATTCCCTGAGTTCTGTGAGCCACTCTAGCAAATGGATCAATCTGAGGGGGTCCTTGGAAG